GGAAAAACTAGAAGATGTACTTCAGAATTCCTTGGCAGTGTCTTTACGATTTGATGGTTCTGTTGATAGAAATCAAATAGACAACGAATATGTGTTGGCCAAGACTGTAAATAAAAAAGGGGAAGAAAATCTCTATTTGCTTGGGTTTGAAGAACCAAACGAGCAGGGCGCAGAAGGAGCACTAACGGCTATTCAGAATGCTGTTGAAAAATGAAATTAAAAGGGATTCTTTGTTTCCAAACATTTCATCGCTAGCATCCTGTTGTACTGAACTCTTGAATACTTTATTTACTTGAAACAACCCGTTTACAAAGCTATCTTTTGCTCTATATATCGAGTACGTATCCAAAACAATGTTGTTTTCTTTTTCATAAATCCCATACTCCAAAAGGTGATTTGTCCCGTTAACAGTCCGATCGTAATATAAACAAATGTAACACAACATATAACATCTCTCCCCAACTACAAAATAGTCCAACCCCCTTAAGTGTCGTAGTCTTCTAAATAGCTTCTTTCATACTCCGATTAAATCGCTCAACTGTTCCGTTTGCTCTGGGCCATTCCGGAGTAATGTGGTGATGGCGATATCCACTGCTTTGGGCAAACTGTTCCATCTCTTTGATTGGAAAGGCGAGCCATTGTCCGATTGGCATACCGCTGGAACACCTTTGCTGGTGAATATCTTCTCCATGGCTGCGATTGTGGTGTTCGCATTAAATGCATTTCCGAACCATGCCATCTCCGGCCATCGACTGTAACGGTCAATCATGATGAATATATATTCGTCGTTGGGGTAAGGGCCTTGGAAGTCCATTTCCACATACTGCCATGGGCCAATTGGTAGCTCCGACGGTTTGACTGGCTGGTTCTTATTTGGTGGTTGGACAGCTTGGCACGGTAAGCATCCTCGTACCTGGTTTTCGACGGCCTTGTCCATCCCAGGGAACCAGCAGAATGTCCGTAGAAAATGCTTTGCCTTGCTAATTCCTTGATGTGCGCGGTGACTCAATTCGACAACACGTTTTTGTAGAGCGATAGGGACGACAACACGTGATCCCCGACAAACCACACCGTTGACCACATTCAAGTCGTGTTTGATTTCCGGGACCATGTAAGGTTTTAGGTCCTCGTCATTGTCGCTTATTCCCGACTTGATTGCTTTAACAAGTCTCTGGTAGACTTCGCATCTTTCTCCTTCAGCCCTAATATCCTCCACCGTCACTGTTCCTTGTTCATTAAGGGCGTGGCAGTACCCGCTCTCAACAACGCTCTCCGCTGCTGCTTCGATCTCAAACACTCGATTTGATCCTGCTCGATCAACATGATGTCGTGACATGTAATCAGCGATGCATGTCTTCCCCGGACGGTAGACGATCTCGTACTCAAACTCTTGCACGTCCATAACAAAGTTCTCGATTCTTGGAGGTAGCTCCCCGCATAACTTGTGGAACATATAGGTTAGTGGACGGTGGTCGGTAACGATGCGGAATTTTGGTGCACCGAGCAAATACTTTCGTAGCTTCCTGCATGCCCAGCGCACGGCTAGTGCCTCTCGCTCGGTCGCGGAGTATCTGGTTTCAACCTCTTTTAGTGAGCGCGACTTGTACATAACCGGGTGGAAGGCCTCAGTCTTCGATGCTCGCTGGACAAGAACTGCCCCCAGACCCGTGATTCTGGCGTCTACAACTAGTTCGGTGTCATGTCCGATTACATAATGGTGTAGTAGTGAAAATTCGCTTAACTAGGCTTGCAACTTGGTGAATGCTTCTTGGCACTTTTCGTCCCACGCCCAGATGTTCTCCTTAAGGTGTTGCCGCACAGGGTGGACAATGCTCGCGAAGTTCGGAATGAAACGTTCACTAAACCCTGCCATCCCGAGGAAGGAGCACAGCTCCACTTTACTTGTGGGTTGACTTGCATCTTGTAGATTCTTTTACATTCTTTGGGTCGGGTTTTATGCCCTGCTTGTTGAACACCAGCCCGACGAATCGCACCTCCTCTACATCAAAGACACACTTATCAGGATTCACGGTGATACCATTACTCGTTAAGGCTGACAGGACTTTTTGCAGGGCTGCATCATGCTCTTCGACTGATCCGCCAATCAAGATATCATGCGCTATGTTCACCTGGCTTGGGATACCGGACAGCATCTTGTGCATCTCCAACTGGAGGATATCCTGGACAGATTTGGTTCCTAATTGAGCCTTTTGTAGCGGTACTGAGGTAGAGGCCATCAGGGCCATAGAAAGTGGTGGTGTTACGCGACTGTTCGTCGAGGACAAACTGGTGGTATGCTTCTTTGAGGTCAAGTTTAGTGAAGCGTTCTGCTCCTTGAAATTTGTTTACAATATCAGCTATTGTTGGTATCTGCGTATACGGGCGTTGTATGGCTTTGTTGGCCATGCGCATATCGATGCAGAAACGAATGTCGTTGGAATCTGGTTTGGGAGCAATCACCAGAGGGCTGACCCAACTGCGTGGCTGGTTATCTGGAACTCGTTCTATGGTGTCTTGGTCCAGGAGGTCTTGGATCTTGCTTTCTGCCCGGTCTGAGAGATTGACTGGTATCCGTCTCTGTTTCTGGACCACTGGTGTGACACTGTCATCGATCATCAGGGACACCTCATTCGTTTTGGCTTTGCCGCAACCTCGTTCCCAGGGCTTTTCCCTTTTTGACACTGGGAAGGCGGGAAAAGGCCCTGGCACCGGCCGGTCACATGACTTTCAACACCCAGATATAGTGGGTGTAATAAATTATAATAATAATGATTAGAAAATCCAAGATGGCCGCCAACCTAAGAGTGTACACAAATTTAAGTGGTTAGAGCGGCTTAAAAATGCGTTTAGTCTTTGAAATTTTTCCTTCTTTTTGCTACCGACGTACTCGAAATCAAATTATTCAGCTTTTATTACATGGGAACTATGTAGTTGCTGTTCTTCCAACTGGGTTTGGTAAATATCGTTCGTTCGCTAAACAAAATTAACAGCCAAAATTATATAGTATTACGACAGATATTCTCCAGCTGGGCAGGCTTGCCTAAGAGGACACGGAAAGTGTTTAGAACTGGGGATGTTAAACTTGGTTTTACCCTTCCAAAGACTCTGCTGTACGACGATTGGGGCGAGTTTATGAGGAACATTTTATACAGTGATTCAAAGAAATGTTTTTGCATATACTGTATATGTTATTGATCTATTGTTGAATGTCACTTATATTATAAAGTGCCAATGGTTGGAATATTTATTCATTGATATTTTAAACACAGATGAAGTGTTTTATGCTCTTTCCTTGTTTACGTTTTCCTTGCAGCCAAGTGTTGTTGAAGCTGGCAAGCTGCAAAACTGACATATGAGTGATATGACCCAAATATTGGATATGCATCTTAGTTTGCTTCCAGTAAAATGTAAACAAGACCTTAAGAATTCTATACGAGATAAGAAATATTCCGTTTAAAATCATGACTGGCAAATTAGCATGTGCGAATTGATGCTTCCTAATATTTAATAGTATGTACTCCAGTAAAGCTTGCTTGCTTCAATTCTTGCTGTTACCACTGCACATCATCAGGGTGGAGAGTTGATTTGAATTTTTTGTCCCAGGGGATAAAGGTAGGGAATAGATTTTCCATCACAAGTTAGACATGTACTTTAAGTGACCATTCATTATACCCTAGGGTGGGGTGGGAGATTCTTATGTCAAAATGTCATGGGACCCCTTTTTAATCTCTTAATTTAATATTGGAGACCCCTCCTAAATATTTAAGACTATATAACATGATGAAATTCTAATCTTCATTCATGTGAATGCCTGACTATGAAAAAAATACATTTTGCAACACAGGGATGGATCCAGCATGATCTGGTAGGGGGGGGGGGTGCTCTGCCAGCTCTGGTGCCGAGTTGTGTTGGTCATGTGTGCCGCCGCCCATCAACTTGCTTCACTACTGCAAAGTCTTGCTTTACTATACTGTATTTGAATTGTAATTGTTGTTCACAGCTCGCTTATCATCATGTTATTACTCAAATTACTGTATCTCATTTTGCCTGTAATAATTTTTTGCTTTATCATGAAAAATAGAATCCCCCTGCACCCCCTCTGGCCAGGGCTAGGGGAGTGCACAGCCCCCCACCCCCCAGTAAATCCATCCCTGTTGCAACATACACTACAAGAGCTAGAATGATTGCTTCCTTTGGTTGATTTGTCTTAGAATTATATTACCTATATTACAACAATTCTTCCTATTCTGAAACCAGTTGCTATTCTGTTTTTTACAACACCCCCCCCCCCACCCCCGAAAAAAAAAAACCTCAACAAATCAAGGACCCCCTCCAAGGCAATTTTGCCAGCAAAATAGATTAAATTTGATGGTAATTGTTCTGAGAATATATTAACTCATTGAGTGGCAGCATTCTGCCTAGACTTGCCACAAGTCGACCTCAAACGAAACGCAAGCAGCGAGTGTGAGCCAACGTTTCGTTCGAGGTCGACTTGTGGCAAGTCTACATTCTGCCCTTGAGTAAAATTGTCTGGCACCAGACGGAGTAATATACTAAAGTAGGGACATTGCCACTATAAAGGGTTAAACAAATTAAAAAAAAATTTGCAATGGTCTATATTCAAAAAGCTCAATTTGTAAATTTTAATTGACTTTAATTAAATTAATATAACTACTTATACTTATAGCTACCTTGCCCCAGTCACTTCAAGTGAATTCTACGGGAGGAGGGGGACATTGAAAATCCCTGGGTTTACTTGGTAAAAGCAAGAATTGAACCATGCATTACATGTATATGGAGAGCAGTTTTAAAAATATTTTATCATGCAAATACCTTGATAATTGTTCTTAAACGTCTTTGGCTTAGAATGGGTACACCCTCCAAAGATGTTTATTTACAGGGTCCAAAGGTGTAAATATACACTGTCCAAGGTGTTATAAACAACAAAAACAATGCATATAATTAAATTTTATTAAATAAAATGTGGAATATTTTACAAATTGCATTGCCATCCCAAAGTGTACATAATTTATCAATATAATTAGGACTTAGAAGCTGTTCACATGAGTTTGACTCTGACCCAGCACCCTTGGCTTAGCTCCCCTTGCCCGATCACAAGTAGAAAACCTCCAACCCCTTTCTGACAAATCAGTCCAGATCTGCCCAAGAGGCAGGATTTTCTGGAATATTAGCAGTGAAATTGTTGCATATTTTCAAGCATGCATTGTAACCTGATTTTAAAGCCTGCTTGAACATCAGACATTGTGGCAATGGCAAGATGGTCCAGCCATATGAATACAATCTTAAAATATCATAAAAACAATGCAATTTAAGGCCAGACAGACCAACTCCGGCGAACAGCCCTTTCTTACACATTTGAAGCATCTCTTGAGACATCAAAGTACTGTACATGCAGTACTTTACTTTGCAAAACCAATACAATCAAGCTGGAAACGGATTTTATCAGTATTTTGATATATACATTATGGCTCATGTCCAAAGACACCTGCACTTTCATATTGAAATTGTTCTAATATCATCCAAACAAAACACATCAGAAAACTGTAACATCAGCCAAATGAGCAAATCACTTTTTTAACACAATTTATGGTAAAGTGAAGCAACATGTAATAGTACCTGAAACAAAACCAAATCACATATTATTCAAAAATTGTAAACACTGTTGCATATGATATAACAAAATATCGTCGCATTTCTAGTGGTAACTAACTATAAATTAGGCCAATTTAAACTCGACTATGAAGAATATCAAAAACTAAAGGTCATGTTTCAGTTTATAAACCCAGACTTTAGTTTTATAAATATAAACATTATAAACATTATAAACGCTATACGAAGCCAATACAAATATGAAGGCACATTTTGCCCTAAATACTCGGTCAGAGCCTCAGAGGTGTGTTCTAGTACACAATTAATCTTCTCTCACAGTTTAAAACAAACAATAATACTAACCTTCGACAAATTGTGTATAAATCTTATCGAATTTAACCATTTTGCCACAGATTTTGCCAAAAATATTTCTTAGACGGACAAAGTATTAATAATGGAGACTCCTTGCATGAAATATTAATTTTTCCCAAAGTTTGAATAAATTAATCCAAGATTGCATTATTTGCATAATAATAACTTGTCATTGACCAATCAGAATACATAGAAGACCGGCCGGTGCCAGGGCCTTTTCCCGCCTTCCCAATGACAAAAAGGGAAAAGCCCTGGGAACGAGGTTGGCTTTGCCGATCTTAACCGTGAACACCTCGGGGTTATCCATAATCATGTCAGCTATCTTTTGGCGCCTAGTCATTGCCAAAACTTTCTTGCAGGGCTCAGACACTCGCTTTACTAGGAATTTCTCATTATACCGGATCAGTTGGAGCTGTTTGGCTGACTGTTCGGAAAGTAGTGGATAGGCGGATGGTTCATATGTCACATATATCTCAGTGTCGACTACCCGATCCCCAGCTGTCAGCACTGCCTTGAATGAACCGATGACCACCAGTGGTGTCTTGCCCCCATATGCAAATAGCTTGATGTTTGTCGATGTCAAATTTACTCCCCCCGTGTCTTTTCTTCAAAACTGCGAAAGTGTGTCTCATCCCAGACCAAGCCCGTAGCTGGCTCGCAATTTCTGGG